TCGAGCGGTTAAGATTTGTGCCCAACTGTTGACGGACGGACGGACGCTCGGACGGACGCTCGGACGGACGGACGCTCGGACGGACGGACGGACGATCATGCGATTCTACAAGCTGCATCTGACTATGTCAGATGAGCTAAAAAGGGTGAAGCTGTATACCGAGTGTCTAATCTATTTTGCCTTCTTGAAACCTGCACTACTACTACTACTAGTATACTAATGTTGTAACAACAGCGCCATCCGAGCGTAGCTCATGGAACTACTAATGTATGTAGCCTCGTTTTGACATTAGGGGGATAATTCCATCATGGCTGTCTACGGCTTAATCTTTGAATAATAATCTGATGTTATTTGACCATGCTTCGATCTGAGTCTATCCTGCCCAACAACAAATATAACCTATACTGATCAGTTGATGTACTATTCCACGATTGTATTAGACATATTTGTCCATGCAGAGATGAATTTTATTACTTCTCATTGGCAATTTTAAACACATATAATTGATATTTTTATAGAATCAAAACAAATATGATCCACCTACATTAATTTTTCTCATCCTTTTACAGGTCTTTCATACTAATAGTAATAGGCCTATACCTGCACCTAGCTGATACTTTAAGGGAACTTCACTATTATATTATCAACAAACCTCACATTTTCTCCATCAGTCTATGAGTTTGTTCTGTAACACAATGGAATATTTCGGAACATTCTTATTTGGGGATATCGGAGCCGTTCTGTGCAATTACTCTGACACAAAAAAGGTATCCAAGTGGCCACAGTTCCGTTAACAGTTGGTAGAAGGGAAGGTTATCGTCGTACATCGCCTGTCCGTGTAAGCGCACAAATTTCTCTTTGTTTTTCTGCAGCTTCTCTACCTCGTGGAATGCGGCAGCTTGCATGTCCTCAGAGATGTCCTGGACCTGTGGCAGACATCGTCAAATGACACGAGGACACAACGTGACGATTAACTGCACTGAAGACAAAAAGGTACTAACTGATTAACGAAATAAAAACGGTCGTTATAATTACAAATTTGACCTCAGCTATCCAAAATCGCCATTAAATTTGTACCGCTGAAACTTTGAAGCCAGCGTCTTGTAGGAATTTCTTTTCTTCTTCGATGGTGGCGATTGTTTCAGGAGTAATAAATGGGGCTCCACATTTTGTTATGTATGCAACCTGTTCATCAGACAGGTCAGACTTTTTAACCCATTCCTCAACCATTCTGAAATTACAATAATGCCGACATTTCCATGCATTTGCTTATGTTCTACAAGTTCAAATGAGTAAATGGAATGAAATACACTATTCTGATTGAGTGATCTTACTTGATAGCTATGACTACTTTATTCTATGTCTCGATAAAGCATATCACTGCCCTACAATTACTCGTACTTAAAATACTTATCACACAGCTGTTTCCTCTTCCTAAACTATCTAACAACTTAATTATGCCCGACAACAAATGACTGATATGACTTAGAAATGTTATACTTACAGTCTTCCACCAGGCTTTAGGTGACGACCAACGTTTTCAAGTAATTTCACACGAGTCTCCCATTTCACATGGAACAATGTCATGACCACTAAAGCAGAGTCAAATTTATCTTTGCCTGGAATAAATTTTATGAAAATTATTTATTTATTTAATGCATATTATGACTACATTATCATAATATTAATCGAGTACAAATTTGAAAATGTTCTTGAGAATCTTATAGATGCAGAATCACTGGCGTAGCTAAGGGGGGCACAAGGGGGCCATGGCCCCCCCTGTTGATTGGCAAGCAAAAAAAATTTTTTTTTTTTTTTCTTGTCTGCGGGTCTCTCACGCGCTCTTCACAGGATAGACCTGCCAACAATTGGTCCTGTTACTTCCTGCCATCTGCTGAACGAACCATTCTCAAACATGAGCGGATTGGAGTGTCAAGTCTAAACTTCGTTCTACAATGACCCAGCCAGCGCGCATTGCTTGCGCTGCTCTCACTTCTCCTTTTCGTTCGCAACAGGGAGTTAGTGATGACATTTAGATATCAACGGAAATCCTGCAAACTGTTCTCTGTGCAAAACTCCCGCATGAGAGCACTTGACTGTTGGAATTTGAAATTTCGCTGCCAGGCAGACAAAAACATGACTCAAAAGAAAAGGAGATAATTCTATCTGTTCGCTCAGATCTGCGTGGTTCGCTTGCAAGCTTGGCTTTGATGGTTGCAATTTTATGGTTCTGACACCGTCTTATTGACAGAAAGAAAAGAAATTGAAATGCTTTGTGAATACCACTCTTGATATCATTCGAACTTATTAGACGGCGCATTCTTGCATCCCAACCCGCGTTTTTTATTTCGAAAATCCGACATTTCAACACTATTTTAAGTAACTGCTTCTCTATCACGAGGAGGCAAAAACAATTACCTTTTCATGCCGTAAATTTCGTCTTTTTATTTAATAGGCAGCGGCTAATTTTGGCAGGCCACCTTGTTTTGTAACATAGACAAAGCAACATTCGCATCGAGACAGTACTGCCTGACAACAGACAAATTCAAACGTAATATCCAATTATTTCGTCACGTGCTTGAAATGAGCGACAATAGGCGTGCAGCTAAGGGGGGCGCACAAGGAGGCCATGACCCCCTCTTGATCGGACGAGCTACAAAAATTGAAGAAGACAGGTGGCCCTGAAGTGGGACTTTGGTCGTCATACCACGTATTACCTACGGATCTAATTAATGAAGAATGAAATGCCGAACACATGCGCCCATTTCTTTTTGACTGCGCACATTTACTTTTCAAAAATTACCTAACTGGTCGGGAGGAGCGAAAAACCAGCCCTCCACCGCTTTGGAGCAAATGAGTTCATCGCACTGTCTTTCGGCCGCTTCAACACTCTTTTGCTTCGCCTCCGCTGCAAGAAGCACTGGCTTCGTTACACCATATGTTCAACTGGTCTAGCTACAGGGTCACTCAGACTGCGCTCCCGTGCTGTAACCCTTTCAGCGCCTTCCGGGCGCCCACAGCCAGGGGCGCCATCGTCCCACCTTGTGGATCGGATCGGACGTGGAAAAAAAAAACACTCCAAAAAGATAAAAACGGCGAGGGAGCGAGCACCTTCCACGGTGCGGACCAGCGGCGATGGCCGCGTCGGGAGTGGTGTGACAAGGATTCTAGCACCTATGAGGGACGCGGTCACTTCTCAGTCATAAGTTACCATTTTCATGCCACTAATTTCAAAATCTCGCCTTACCGTGCGGGAGGTGGGGCATACCCCTGCCCACACACCTACCCCCTCGCGTCGCTTCGCTTCCTCCGCCCTTGCGCCCGCCCCTGTTTCCAATTGCTGGCTACGCCACTGTGCAGAATGGTAATGAAAACACATTCATTAATATTATCTGACTATCTCAACATATTTGTAGTTCCACAATAGTACAACAATATATTATGTGATTATATGTACAATTAACTGAGATTTGTGAATCCCAACACAAAATCCCAAACTAAACTATATATTGATATTAAACATGCAAGCTTAAACGTGTACAACACATATTGCCAGTAAACGTCCCTCAATATTTATAATATATAGTGTGTAGCATGAATCAAAGACATCACTACATAACAAGCACACAGTAATAGTAATTACAGATAGTAATTATATTTCTATCTACGAAGGTATAGTAGTATGCATTTATTTTTTACCAATGTCAATATCTTCCATCTTGCCACAGACATGTGACACCTTGTCTGCCATTTCACATCGTTTCGTTAACGTTTGTCCAATATCGTGGGAAGTTTGCGTTGAATCCACACCAACCACACTACAGCCCGTCTTCAGCACTAGGTACCGTGCAGGTCCACCGTACCCAGAGCCAACATCTAGTACCTTGTGTGAGGCACTGTAAGCAGGTAAGATTTAGTATAACCTTAAATTCCTCATCTTCTTTATAACTATAAACCTATAAAGATATATAGGCAGTGGTGTAGTTAGGGGGGGGGGGCAAAGGGGGCCATGCCCCCCTGTTAATCCGAAAGTAAAAATAAAAAAAATAAAAAAAACAATTGTTCTACTAAAAAGAGAATTGTCCTAGTCAGAATGAAGGCTGTACATGTACTCAAAAGTGCCTCGAATACCATCTCCTGCGATCAACATCTTTTTAAATTTCTGGGGGAGGATCCCCATACCCCCCGCCTGTTTTTCACCCCCTCCTTTTATATATCTTGGGAGCAGAGAACAACGAACCAAATGTCGCCTTTATGCATGGTGCCTGAAACAAAGATTGCAGAGCTGAGAGGTGGGGGAACGTAGGGTGTGGAGAGGGAGACGGAGGATCCATTAAAATCACCATTTTACACATTTTCCACATCATGATTTTACACATCATCCACCATTTTGCGCAGTTCGCTGTTTTTGCCCCCCCCCCCTGTTAAAAAATCCTGGCTACGCCAATGTATGTACACCACATGTTCATTGTATAATGATAACCTAATACTTAGGCTGATAGGGTCTATGTCTTCCTGGGTACTGCCGGAACGTACCCTGGGTACTATCTAATATGCCGGACCGTACCTCGCCTACTCCACTAACGAGTCTAGGGAGTCGCCTATGCCTACTCCCTAACCCTAACCATATCAGATAGTTACCAGGGTCAGGGTACGTTCCGGCAGTACCCAGGAAGACGGTTACAGCCCTATAGACCGAAGGTCCGATAGACCGAAGGCCCGATAGACCGAAGGCTTATTCGAATACGCAGTGGTTACACGTCCGCGATCGAGCTGAAGCCGACTCAATGCCATAGTACTGCCTGCCTCAAGCCCTACTGCGCATGATCAGCAAACCGGACTAGAATAGCCACTATGATAAGCCATGATGATGGCAAGTATTACTGGATTCGACGTTAAATTGATTGAATGTGGTTAATCCCGCACATCCCTACTTCCCGCCATAGTCACATAATCTATATTAAGTAAGGTCTAATGGAGCTATAAGCACAGCGTAAATATAAAAGTGCTTCGATGTATATTATATGAATCCTGCCAATTTCGCTCTAAAGCGCGCTATAAACTGGACTAGGACTAAGTGGACCTCTCTTCATAGACCCTTTGCAATAGATGCCAGGTAGACTATCACGCGTGTACATGCGTCTTTAGTCTAATGCTTATGGAGCTGCGCGCACATAATCATGGCGAGCAGCCGACTGTAGCAGCTCCAGCGATGATCGCATAGACCTCTGTAGATATGTTCGATACCCCTGGCAAGCAATTGATATCTACTAGGAGACTGTGTCGAATTATATAAATTAATGAACAATAACTATAGTCTGAGCTGATATATATATATAAGCACTATGATTTAAAATTAAGCAATAAGTTACAGTATAGCAAATGCAAGGCAATTCAGGACATATGCCATATTAATATATTAAGGATCTGTAAATGATGAAAGTAACATTCATTCATTTTACTGAAATTGAAATGTAAATTGACTACGCACAACAGTATTAAGTAAGTTAAAGGTAACTTCCCTCGAACTTTCCACATAAATTTGTGTAACAAACCACTGTAAAAACGTCAGTAAATAACTCACTACACTTTAACTGAACGTTAGCTTTGAAAATAAAGCTGTACAAATATGTATCAAGCCTATATTTGCTCATCGAAGAAACAACTCGAAAAACGCTTTTCGCCGCGGTCCGTAAGCGCCATATTGTTTTATTTGAGGCCACCATCATTTCAATCGAGTCAATGTAGCCACTTTCCGATATCAATAACTTTCAATATAAATCCTTTTATAAATC